ATAATAGAATTTTGGGAATATTTTACTTTTAGAAAACAAAACAGCAAAATTTGAACAGTAAACTTGATGAAAAACAATAACATTTATTATAAACAAGTTATATTTTAGCATTATCTCTCATATGCATATTGTCTTATGTAATTTTAGAAAAGACTTGGGAAAATGGTTGAATAACAAAATATGTTAGGCTTTTTTGCTTTAAAATGCCTTTTGTCATGAATAAATGAAAGTTTGCAAACTATACATTGACATTTTGGAGAAAGGAGACTAACAGCCTATTTTTAGGAAGTGTTTTATTTCCCTAGTTCAAAAATTCATCTTGCAGGAGAAAAAAAAAATGATAAAGTTTTCATTACCTTGTCCATAGCCAGTTGTTACACAATTGGTTGTACTGGAAGGACCAGATTTCACAAAGAAAAAAAAGAAGCATTGAAGTTTGGGGTGGGGGCGATTATGAAAGACTCAGTTGAAAATATCTTAACATCAAATAAAAATGTGCTTCATACTTTGGAAAAAAAAAAAAAAAAAAAAAGATGTACCATTTTGAAGTTCAGGTATTAAGTCTCAAAACAGTTTACTTGCAAGAGAAAGATGATTGATGTTTAAATATTTCCAGGGAGATTCATACATACAGGTTTTATAAAAAAAAAAAAAAAAAAAAAAAAGATACAAGTATTTCAAAGCATAAAATTGTGTTTGTGTGGAGGAAGAACAGAAGAAAATCCCAATAATTATCACTTTTCTTTTTACCTCTTTGTACATTCTTTGTTTTCATTTGTAATTAACAAGAGTAGAAAATGAGTCTAATGTGATAGTCATGGATTTATTTGGAAAATAAATTAATTGCTGCAAAAATGGTGAAGAATGAAATAGTGGCAAAGAGGGGGGAGGATTTTTTTAATAAAACAAATACTACAGTTATTCTGATGCACATTATGTCTCCTTAAATTTGTAATGCCCATATTGAACTCCAATATTCGTCCAATCACTTGTGGTGTGCTAGAAGCTACAATTATGATCTTTATTCCTGGTGTCATTGGGGTTTTCAGACCTTTAAAAACATTGAACCACCCTCTAACAGGCAAGATCACCTCCTGGTTAGCTTCCTAACTTTTCTCTAAGTAAAAGTCATTTTCTATCAAGCTTGCTATTACTTTAAACTCTTATTTTTACAGCATAAAAAAATAAGAATAACTCATTGTTCCCATTAATCACTAAAAACAATTTTAGATTTTGGGCCAATCTGAAAAATCCTTACAGTTCAAGGTGCTTAACTCTTTGTTTTGGCAGTCAGTGAGATAATCTTTAGAATTATTACCATAAAAAAGAAAGTTTTGAGGGTAAAAATAACACCACCACCACCAGACTGTACAGGCATTTGAAGAGACAAGCTGAGTTTTTATTAATGTAAGTTCAGAACAATTACATAAGAATATAAACAAGATTTGGGCCTAGTTAGAGAATTCACAATTGTTTTTTTATTCTCTTAGTGATAGTTGTACCCATCATTATTGGCATGATTAAAACAGTCTTTAAGGGGACTTGAAAAAAAGTTGGAAGAACTTGGAATTCACAAAAGAATTAAAGACATCCATACAACAACACTGATGGGTATTACTAAGGAGAGTGCTGGAATATTGAGAAGACTTGATGTTGTTTGATTGCTAGTAGACAATCACCAGTTCTGACTGGTGTGAAATCTCAATGAATACAAATATAACAATAGTAGAAGCAACAAATAAGTAATTTTAAATGTATCAAACATTCTCTGTTAGGAGTTTTTTTTTTTTTTTCTTCCCCCACAAATTATAGGAGAGCAAAAACTTAAGCTGTAATAACAAATCTACTCACCTTCATTCTGGCTATTGCAGTTATTTTAAAGAATTACATCTTTATTAATTTTACAAAACTAACAAAGAAAGATCTATTAGTGTAAATGCAGATTTGAGTATATTTTGTTCATAATATTGTTGTAGATATTTCATCATCCATTGTATTGCCAAATTAACAGCTTATAATAAAATCTTTTAATTATACTTCAGTTAGATAAAAATCTAAATTTCTTTCTGAATTTGTTCAATGTTACGCATCTCACAAATGTTTAATTTTTTTAAAAATAAAACTACATAACTCAACCAAGAAAACACTGCCTCAATAAAAATGTGATGTTTGGAGAAGTGGGTTGAACCAAAAAATTTTCAGCACCCTACTTCACACAAAGAAAAAAAAAAAAAAGCAAAATTTTTACTTTTAATATAGGAGAATAATTAGTAGTTAGATAAGCAAACTGGTGAGATGTGAAGATCCCGTTTTGCTTATACATTTAAGTAAACAGTTAGCATATCTGAGATATTTGAAAACTAGCCCGTATTTGCAAGTTAAATTTAATTCAAAGCCATTGATTTGTTTGGGAATTCAACAGTTATTCCTCCTGTTTATATATTCATCTAAAGTGGGACATATCTGATTAGAAAAACGGACACTTAAAATACATAAAAATACAAGAAAAAAATAAAATGAGAACAATATTCTTGTTCAGAACATTTCCCAACCTGTAAAACAGAAAAAAAAGAAGTCAAGACAAAATATTGGCAAATTTATCTCTCAACAATTACAATAATAGCCAAGCTGATTGCAAGACACACACACTATATAAAAAAAAAAAATTTCAAAATTAAATACCATCAATAAAATGAATGTAAATTTTTTTTTTTTTGCACATGGGTATGATAATACCAAACTACAACTTGATTCCTCACTTGGTGTAAGAACAGAATTATACAACCATATGGACAAAAGAGAATATTAAAAAAAAAAAATTGTGAAGTGGATATTAGGGTGAGAATATGAATATGTGCAGTGTAATGTAAGTATAGTACAATTACAAAAAGGCAGTGTTTATAAAAATGAGGAGTGGAGACATACATAAAAATATTGGGAGGTAAATTAGAGACTGTGAAAGACATTTTCTTGAGTCATAATGAATAAAGGATATTTAATCCCAGAGACCTTCCTCCCCAAATGTGGCCCCCAAAAAAAAAAAAAAAAAAAAAAAAAAAAAAAAATTATTCCTTTACAAGATATATCACATGCAGTATAAAAGTTTATTAACTTACAAGTTTCCATTATCTTTGGAAAAATGAAATTCTTTATAAGACTAAATTTTTTTTCTAATTACCTACATTATCCTATGAGAGCTATTTCCTTATTTTGTATTAAGTGATATTAAAATAAGAGCCAAATAAATCAAACAATTAGTTTTATGTGAAATCATGCATTAAACATGTAAAGAGAAACATTATCTTCCTTTAGTAGATAAAACCTTAAATCAGTCAAGATTATTTTAAATATTAATTTCCATTTTAGTCGAGCAATATACTGAATATGGTTAACATATTAATCTGCAGAAAATGATTTTCTTAAAAAAAAAAAAAAAAAAAATCCACTTTCATTGTTAAAAAAACTGAAATGCCTCAGTACAGAATATTTTAATTTACTGAACTACAGACACTGCTACAGTGCTAAATTTAGGTCAATTTATGTTGTAAAGTTACTGGTTTTAATTTATTAAAATAATATATCCATATAATTATATTAGTTACCTCTTTATGTTGTAAATAAATGAGAAATTCAGGAACTTACTTATCACTTCCCAAAAGTCACTTCATATTACAATAGACATTTAACTGATACTTCAAGAGCCTGGGGACCAATTCACACTATTTTGGACGTTCAAAGATATTGAAGCTATGTAAAATAAAGCTGTTAATTAAACAACTTGTCTTAAAAAACAAAACAATTTTCTTGGTTTAAAACTGCTACAAAAGTAGTTAAACTAAATTGGATAAATCTTTGAAATTTTTATAGCAATTTTATGTTATATATAAAAAAAATTTTATGTTCCAAAAAAGTAAAGAGCACATGATTATCTGGCTATAAGTATAAATTCAAAGAAATATTATTTTATTATAATTAAGTCATTAGTTTTTAATGCAATTGAGATTAAAATTCAAAACTGATATGTAAATTACATGTATTTTGGGGATTGTGTGGAATTGGCTAGAGTTTGAATTTTATAAGCTTTCTTTCATCAGTGGGATCATTTGCACAAAATAATTTTGGAAACTGTATAAGACAAAAAATGAAAAATAGATATCGATGTTTGGTGAATTTTTAGTGAAAATATTTTTAGTTTTATTCATCAAATAAGAAAAAAATCTTTAGATATATATTCATATAAAATAGAGTATTTAAATAAGATTAATTAGTGTAAAATCAAGTTATTCTGTCATCTAATTGAAAATTTCTAAGAAGCTAATAAATAACTTAAAGAACACTAAGTGCGGAAAAAAAAAGTGAAAAAGGAAGAAGTTTCAACCAGAAAAAAAATTTGGCACAAGTGGGTTATTAGCTGCCTGCAATAGTTTTAAAAACTTTCCATTCCTTTCAATTTAACCATAAGGCAAAGCATTGAGTTATCTCCCCTGTCGTTATTTTTTTTTTTTTTTTTAAATACAATTCGTGCACGTGTCACCTAATTACAAATGGACAGATTTAGCATAAAAAGAGAAGTAAAGTAAAAAATAGCTGCCCCTAAAGACGAATCCACAACCAGATATCAACATCTGTAATATTTAGCATTTATCACAGTAATGTTGTTTGAATACTTTATGCTCTACATTTGTCTTCAGTCGTAGAGAAACAAAAATTCCTTTGAGGAAAAAAAAAAATTGAAATCATTATTTGCACACCTGCTCAAGCAAGAAAATTTTTCATTAAAATATTTTAAAGATTTCATATAGCATGGAAGGACAAAAATCAGAAAGGAACTCAGGGAGACATGATACAAAAGCTCGTTTTGTGACTCAATCAGCTTGTATAATTTGGTCAACCAGAAATAAAGGGCAAAAGGTAGTTTATATGTTGAGTGTGTGCAGTTAGGTCAATCTTTTTTCTTTCTATTTTTAGCGACTACAGAAGAATTCTAAAGAGAATTTTACTCAATTGAACTCTTTCATGAAATTTATATGGAAGTCTCTGAAGAGAGACATCATCTCTTTCAGTTTAGGAACTGGAGGTAGGATAGTTGAACGGAAGTGATATGTCCCTGGAACTTGTCCAAATCCACTTCCAGGCACGACACAAATTCCTGTCTTTTCCAAAAGTTGGGAACAATAGAAGAAATCTGGGGCTTTTCCTTCAGCCTAAAATCAGAGAGAAAACGTTTGATAAGATTTATTAAAATAACATTAAAAAAATTTCTTAGTATAAGGCATGGAGGAAAAAGGCAAATGAAATTGCAATAAATTATTAAAAAAAAATGCTTTGTGATTTAACCAATCAACATTAAACATTTTGATTTAATCCTAGATGCCTTGCCATCCAAGGCAAAAGAACTCAGTCTACCCTACTATTTAACCTATAGGTAGATTCAGGTGTTTTTTTTTTTTACATTAATGTTCATCCTGTACAAAGCCAAAAATCACTCAATGTATTAATTGTTGCTTGATTCATTTTCTATGGCTTATCAATTTATTGCAGATTATTTAAAGCTAGAAACTTTTTGTTTGTTGACATAATAATGATTTAGTGATACAAGTTTTACTAAGAGGTGGATTCATACCTTTCCTAAGGGTATTTGTGCATAAGTGAATCTATTAAACCCAACTGGTATTGGAACTTGTCATTGATTAACAATTCTGAGCCATTATCCAATACACCACATGCACATTCAAGTGGTCACCCATTTAGGTACTGACCAGGTTTCAATGTTGCTTAACTTTGGTGATCATACAGGAACCAGTGCTTCAATGTGATATGGCCGTTAAGCCCACTCATATAGTAAAAGGTAAGGGGTACAGTTTATGAGGATATGTAGGGAAGATAATGTTAACCCTAGACCTGAACAGTTAAGATTGTCATGATTGGGGAAGCATCCTCTTGGGAGTCAGTTCTAAAAACTAGCATTTTGTGGGAAAAACCTGTTCAAGTAGAACTTGCTTCTCACCAATGGAATACAATGGAATAAGAGTAGTTTGCTATAATGTGCATGTCAGATCAGGTCTTAGTTCCACCAGTTCAAACCTTCACAGCTAAGGAATGTCATTTATCTGAACACTTTCCATAGAAATAGCAGTAGAGTAGCAATATGCTTGCAATGTTTCATCTGTGTAAGGTGGAAAATAATTCATCACCCACAAGGCCACGTAAACACTTTTGAAATCTATTGAGACTGGAAAATGAAGACTGTGCAGCTCCTGCCTATATATGACAACAATACTCTATTTTGGGCCTGATGTGGTTCTTGTAAAGGTATAGTAGTCAGGTACTTATTGGAGCAGTACAAGAAACCAACCATTTTTCCAGAATCTTATATACTTGATGTTTGGGGGTTGAGCTCAAATTCCAAGAGGCACTGAAGGCATGGGACTTTTCCAAGAGTATTATTGTAAAGTGAGTGAAAAAGACTTTTTACTCTGCATGTTGATTCCACGAAATTTGGTAACTGTTCATATCGCATAAGAATTCGTCTTAATACAATCTTAAAAATATAGTCTATATAATCTTAAATACAAAAGATATTGACCTACTTGACAAAACAGGTCAAAGTTGTTTCCTTTAGCTGTTTATTACTAGAACAGAACTCCTAAAAAATGATGGTATAAGGTGTTTGGTTCTGGGCAGAAGTGCCAATCCAAAGTGTTGCTTCTTGGTCCTCTGACTAGTATCAGTATAGACTTATGGTTTTAACAGGGCACCCAGGATTTATCAGTGAGCTAATCTCAAAAGATTAGGTGAATAATTAGTTGTTAAATACCTAATATCACCATGGCAAAATTAGAAATGTCAAACTAAAAAGTCAATCCTACCTTACTCAGAGTGAAATGGTTGACATTTTCAAATATGCCTTCAAGGACCTATCACTGTTGTGTTGCCAATGACTGACACTGGACTATTATCTTCATCTTTGTTGCTGGTATCACATTTCAGCAGTTGTGCCTTTTGATCTTGGTAACATTCAGAGAATTTTGAACTAAATCCTTTATTTAATATACAGGGTAGATTGTTTTGATTTCACTGTCCATATATGGGGGATATTTTGTTTGTTCTTAGTTATTGCTCACCCTGTTTCAACTAAGTCTAAGCCTGCGCTACTTGGCCCAGGGATTGAACTCACAATTACTATGTCATCAAATTCATAATCCACTATATTTTTTTTATAAAGAAATAAAAAGTCATTTTCTTTTGATTTATTATTATTGTCACTGAACAGCAACTTAAATTAGGTGAAATATCAGTATTAGGTCAAAATGGCAACAGTAATGAAAATAAAGACCGACCTACCTCAGCTGCTTTGATGGCTTTTTCTGGTAAAAAGATTCTGGGGAAAGCATACATAGCACCTTGGACTGTGTTACATTTGATTCCTTCAATGGAATTGTAGGTTTCTGATGTCAATGCAGCTTTTTCAAAAAGTTGACCAAGAACACTTTCTTTTTCCTTTAAGAAAAAAAATGTACCAAATGATAAAACTCACATTTTTATTTCTATTTTTCTTAATCTGAAAAGAAAAACCATGTTTTCAGGCATATTGGTTTGTTACATGGATTATGATGTGCCAAACATTATTTCAAGGAGAAAAGCTGTATGTAATAGGATGTAAGCAATTATGGCACTCCATAGATTCCTTGTCTTCATTATCTGTGAATTGAAATGCCTTCTTGAAAAAGATAGTGGAAATCTTTCTCTTAGAAAGATTACTACCCAAGACTAGAGAGACCAGTCGACCCTGTTATTTAACCCATAGCTGAAGGAAGGTATTTGTGTGAAAATAAAAGCAAGAGCATTAACTGGAATTTGAACTTGGCTTCCCAATCCCTCTTTACAGGCTCATAACTGTTACACTATGTGCATGCACACTTGTATACATATTCTCCCCTTAAAAACACTTTATGTAAATTTACTTTGCAGTATTTTCAAATTAGTATAAACATTTTAAGTTAACAGTACATGAATTATATGACCTGTCACTATAATTTTTTTAATATTTTCATTGCCAAATTCTAAGCAGTGTTGCAGAAGAAAAAAAATTGAGTAATTTTTAATTATTTTTAATTAAACTTGTATGATGTGTGTGTAAGCAACATGTATCTTCAGTAATAGAAGTCAATTACCTGTATGAAACGATCATGTGATGGTTCACCTGGCTTTGGTGGGTTCACAACGACATCAAGTAAAGCCTGCAACAAAATGGGAAAGAAATGTTAAACAACTGATAGTAAAAAAAAAAGATAGAAAGTGGTCATAATGAGTAATATTTTGGAGAGAATAAAATTGAAAAAAAAAAAAAAAATAAAAATAAAATAAAATTGGTCACTGCTTGTAAAAAGGTAAGAACTTACTTGTCCTGTGACAGGAGAACATAGCTTAGCAGAGATTGATTTTATTAGCAATTCTCGAACTTTAGGATCCAAACCAATAACTTCAAAATATCCTCCACGCATTCCACATCTGCAAAATTATCAATGTTATTTTATCAGTTATTTTTATTGGTAGTTTAAATTATGAGTACAAAGTCATCATCACAAAATAAAATTCACAAACCCATTGAAAACACCTAGAAGTAGGAAAAATACCAAATACAACCTATTCATTAAAAATATTTCATTTAAAAGAATCATTTTCTTTTTTAATCTATGCTACAGATTTAGTACAATACATGAAGTGAAAAGGAAAAAGTATCAAGCATTTAACATTTAAAAAATATTTATCACACAAAAAGATTTTAAAATTTTCAATATTTATCTCTTGTTAAAATCATCTGATTTGTTTTCCTCTATTTAAGCAGGTCTTTTGTTCTGGTTTCCTACATTTTCAAGTATACAAGCAACAAATGAAAAATATAAACTCATCAATCAATAATTTTATAAGAATCTGTTCACTGTAACCTTTCCTTAAAAGATTAGTTCATGAGCAAAGATTTATTGATTGTTTAAATGGTAACACTAATGAACATGTACTCCAGAAATGGTATGACAACTATGCAGAAAGATGTGAATACTTACTCTCCCATGTAGCCTTTAGAAGTAGACATGAAGGATGCCAATTCCATGTCCTTGTACTCAGGTCCCATCTCAGTCAGGACTTTTTTGAAGGAGAAAAATTCACAGTCCTTAGCATATACATTATGTTGGTATACCTTGTGAGGAAAAATAAAATATATATTTTTAAATGGCAATAAATTTACCATATTACAAGCATATGGCAGATTTTATTTAACTATTATATATAATCTTAACTTTACTATATCTTTATAATTATATTCATAAATGTAACTTAAAAAAATCCTTACATTTAGCCATTATAAACTTGAATAAAATTGAAAAATATTTAATCATTCTATTTTGGTTATACTTGTATTTTTGTATTTCACAGGTTCATCACACCAGTCTTTTATTTTCTGTTCTACATATAATTTAATCTAACTTCCTAACTTTGCATAGTTTATAGTAGTTCTAATAAGATAAAAAAATGTAGCCATGGCAAAATGGCCATCCATCCTCCTAGTAAATCACTTATCTAATAAGGTTTTCTTGCTAAATATTTTATTTCATGAAACTGCTATTCATTTAATTTGGTTAAAAATGCAACATATCTTGTTAGTTCCAAGTAATATACACATTTGTTACAGAGAGGACCATTTATCTCTGTGTACTTACTGATTATTTTGACTAAGTAGTAAAACATTCTGTATCAATGAAAGATGATAAAAATATAATGCTAAAAATGAAGCTTACAAATCTGAAAACTTAAAAATTAGTGAATCAACATTCAATTAGAAAATCTAAAAAAATGAACCGGTTTATATTAAAAACTATTTCATTTTTTTAATAAAATTTAACAAAGTTTCAATAACGGGATTTATTTTTTTATAATTAGACTTGTTTAAATCTCATCAGTGGCCATGCATTTATTCTCCAAATATTTGATACTTAAAACAGAATTCCTTTGATGTATAATATGTTATTTTTTAAGTATAACAAAGCTTTCAAGACAAAATATTTTGTGTTCTGTTTATCAAAAAGAACAAAAAGTCACTTACTTCGTCTGCCAAAATGAAGAGGTTTTCTTTTTTGGCAAATTTTATGATGTCTTCAATATTTTTTCGACTCAGTACCTGCCCTGAAATTAGATGAAAAAAAAATGAAAAGATTTTATTAAAATTAAATAAATATTGGTATTATCTAATAAATAATCCATGGATCTTTTATTTTTAAAGAAATCAACAGTAATTGAGGAAAAAAAGCATAATTTCAACGTTGAAATATCAATATTCCTGAAGTATTTTGTGATACACCAGACTTTTTCCTTCTAGAATACATTTTGTTAATAGAGTTACTTCCCCTGGTGGCAAACGCAGTCGCTTCCCAATGTTTGCTATATTAAGTGGTTAAATATGAAAAGTTTAATATTCAGACAATTCTGAGAGGAGAATCTCATTATCAAGATTAAACTCGATAATAACTTTAAATCAGAAATAAAATTTCAAGTGGCATTGTATTAAACCCTGATCTCAAAAGTGAAAATTTTTTTTTTTTACCAATGCAAAAATAAAAAAAAGATTGTGACATTTAACACCAAGAAAAGATTTTATTTATATACTCATAGTATGTATAATACTTCTTACACTAGTTCCATGTATACAGTAAAGATTGTTGATGATGGAAATGTAATAGAGATACTGGTGTGGATTTTACAAGTAAGTGAATCTACACCTGGTAACTTGCTAGAATGGGGTTAACAGGATAAGTTTATATGAAAAGCCTAGATATCTAAGCTAGGTAATTTGAATTTTATTTCTAGATCAAAAGAATATTGGTATTTTTTCCTACTTAAAGTGGAATTTGCTATTTTAAATTAAAAGTGAGATTTGAAGTTCAGTTTCAGAGGCCGATAAATGTCTACTGCTAACACACAGACACAAAATAGCTTACCTGTTGGATTTCCTGGGTTGATAATGACAATAGCTCTCGGTATACATTTGGAAGAGCTAGCAGCAAGTGATCTTTCTAATTCAGCGATGCTGAGGCCCCAGTTGTTATCTTCATCAAGGTAATAGCCAACCTGGAAACAAGATAATTGAGAAAAAAAATGTAAATTTTTTTCTTTTTAAATATTGCCTATAAAATATTAATGACTATGTGTAATTAACACTATTACAAAACAATGTAATAGAATATTTTAATTAACACTATCACTCTTTCAGTAAGAAAACCTATCCCAGTGGTATATTAAATACGTATTACTTTGAATATACGCTATTTAGCGCTAGAGGGCGTCGTCAGTGATGTTCTGAATCAGGTCATTGGGCAGTTTTGGGTCTTTCAAACATACTTCCCTCACCAAGTCGACCCCCATCAGAGCTGATCAGTCTCTGCTGTGCCAACCCCACCTCCCATCATCTAAAGACACTGACTTATATTAGGCAAACCCTATCCCTCTATCACACATTTGATTGGAAGTTGATCAACAGCCAATCACAATGGTGTGAGCTCTATTTGTTTATGGGGGATTTTTTAGTTTTTCTTTTTTTATGTGGATACTTGTCAGATATTCAGAAGGTAATTATGTGTTTTCCTGTTTTTTTTTTGTTTTTTTTTTTTATTTTTTTCAAGTTTCATCTCCCCAACAGATAATTACTGTTAGTAATGAAAAAATATAAATAAAAATAAAACAATAAAATAAAAAAAAGATGCAACCTTAAAATAATTAGAAATTTACATGTAATTTACTTATTTTAATCATAAAAACAACTTATGTAGCATGTTAAAATGAAAATAACTATATAAATAAATGTCGTTTAAAACAAATTGAACAAGTAAACTTAGAAAATTCGATTAAATCTGTCGATTAATGTGGTAAAATTAACATGTGAGATTAACAAATAAAATTAAATTTACGATTTTGATTGTTACGCAAGAAAAAAAAAACGGAAAGAGGGGTGAACAATGTTGCTAATTAAGTAGTTTAACAAAAATTAGTTACAAATAATTATAATTCACATATAGTCCCATAGTTGGTGACAGAAAAGAGATAAAAATGGAAGTCAAAAGACTTTTCTATTAAGCAATAAAGAACGAAAATGGGGGAAAGCTATCGGGGGGGGGGGAAATTGACCCATTTTGAACTTTACAATGTTGTGCCTTTATTCTAGATGCTAAAATATCGAAATCACAGTTAATATGCAATATACCCTTACCAACATTTAAGTAACAAGTAAGAAAAAAGAAAAGAAAAAAATAAAACAATGATAATGACTAAAGTTAAAATAGATAAGTTAGATAAATAAGTTAAAATTGGGAGAACTACAAAAAAAAAAAATTACAACCATTTTCTGATTATACATATTTACAAAACAAATATGGCATTTATAATTAGTTATAAGCTGTGACATATTTTAATGTAAATAGTATAAAGATAATATACAATTAAAGATTTATAAAACTACACTGCGTAAAATAATTTACAAAAAAAAACAAAAACAAAAAAAAACACATTTAAGAGGAAATCTGTTAAACGTTTGGGGGGGTGTATATAAAAAAAAAAAAACGAAAAAGAAAATCATGAAGAAAAAAAGACATTAAGATAAAATCAAAACAAAAAATAAAATGCATAAAAATAAGAAACATTTTGGGACCAAATCAGAGAATAAACAATCAGCAAAGTTTTGCAAGAATCTCCTTCTTTGTCAATTATTGTCACCAGACTTGTTATGATACTTTGCAAGATTTTTTTTTCTTCTGGGCTTTCTTACCCTGGCAGGGAATTGGAGAGCAATTCAAGAGAATTCATGAATGACAGTGAAAGCAATGAATCCTCTAGTGTAACCGACAAAATATTTTGCTGACAGTCAGAGAAAATTTTTCTGGTCCTAAGTGGTTTGATTTTAAAATAAGGGTTATACTAATAATAGCTAAGAGAGGGGGAATTTTGATACAAGAAAAAAAAAAAAAAAAAAAAAAAAACTTACTGGATAGGCATTGTATTCTGCAATTGTTGCTGTGTAAAGTGGGTATTGTGGAATGGGAATCATGATGCCTGCACGCTCATTTCCAGCTTTACCCGTCATCAGTAGTTTCAAAATAGTCTGAAAATAAAAAGAATGGTTGGTATGTATAAGTAATTTCCCTAAACTTATCTGTAGCAAAAGCTTTAGATGAACAGAAATTAAAAGATTTACCTTAATTCCATCACTGGCACCAGCAGAGAGAAAAATATCTTCAAATGAGGCAGACTGACCATCCCTCTTGGAAATATAATCTGCAACATCTTTACGTATTATTTGCACCCCAGCACTGTCACTGTAGGACCCTGTCACAAGAAAAGGAAACAATAAAGCAACAAGAATTTATTAAAGAAATTCTGTCTTTTGTTATCTGTTGAAATTTCAAGTTGTGACATTTGATACCTTCACACAATTAGCCTTTGTTTTTTCTTTCTTTATTATTACCACATTTTTGCTTGTCAATTCTCCAAGTGTTTATAGTGAAAGCATATTGACAAACAAACAAAAAAAGTACTGGTTCTCATTCAATCAATGAAGTTAAGCACTGTTGTACCTAGTCAATATGTAGATGGGGGACCAACAAGTACTGTAAGCAACCATGCAACAAGCCTAGAAAGCTAGCAATGGATAAGATATCTCTATTCATACTGACAGGTCACAAGACCTACAGGGAATTGGGGGAGTGAATTCTTCAAATAGTTTTAAATATTTAAGTATATTTGGAGAATTCGAGGGAGTGGGGTGAAAGTGAGCGAGAGAGAAAAAAAAAAAAAAAAAATGAAGGTATTCTTTTGTATCAAATACAAAGAGCTGTCTTGGATGCCAGTCATGCCAGTGTGTATTTTTCAACTTCTAAAATAAGGATATGGGTTCTGATAAATGTTTTATGATATGGCATAATTCATGGAACAAAATAATTGTGCCACAGAGAAAAAAAATAAGGGTGCTATACCAAATAAGGACAGTGTCTGGGGGGGAGGGATTGAATGAAATGTCCTTTGGCGTTCTCCTTGGTCTTGTCTTTCAACAATTGTAACTGCAGGAAAAGTCAGAAGTTGTAATTCTGGATTCAGCAATGGATGGAGGGTTCTAGCAAAAGACCATGCACAGGATGACTTGAATGGTGATTTTTTTTAAGCATAGCTTAGATGTGGCACAAGGCCAGAAATAAAGGGCACAAGATGACCTGTGTGGCAGGTGCAATATCATGATGAATGCAATAGACACACATTAAAGTTCACTCATTAGTGTCTCACTGCTGACTGAGTAACTCTTCAGGAGAGGGTCTGTCTATGCACATGCAGTAAGGTCATCTTTGATTGGTTACCAAGTTCCATCAAAGTGCACACTCAGTTTGAAATTTGCTTACATTTAAGAGTTAAAAAAAATTTGTTGAGGATTAGTTTTCAAATTTGTTAACACACACAGTTGTACCAGACAAACTACTTATATTCTTATAGTGTATATAGTTATTTAGACATTTCAAAGTGTATCAACTGTGACAATTTACCTTATTACTCATTAGAATGGAAAACTTTATATGCTATACATTAACAATGATGTTCAATGTTGAACTGACAAACTTTGAATATATTTGCTAAAATTAGGATTTTACTAAAGACAGTTTTCATTATTTTTTTTTTCAAGCTTGACTCTTGAAAATTATTAGATTGATTGATTAATTGATTCATTTTTATGGCTTATCAACCCTTTGCATGTTATTTAAAGCCAGAAAATATTTTTAGATTGGAAGAATTTGGTGGGGGAAGATAAAAGTTTAGTGATAGAAGTTTTACTAATTAACCCATAGCAGGGGGAAGAGGTGGATTCATACCTGTCTTAAGTGTTGTAGTAAAGAAAAGAAAAAAAAAATTGTAAACTTATAGTAGCAATAAACGCCTGCAATAGATTTCTTCTGTCTCTCAACTGCAACATTGTAGCCAAATCACAGTTCAAACAATAATCTGTCGTAACAGTCCAACAGGCAATGTAGAAATGCCAAAATGGGGTCACAAATCCAACCTCACCAGCATAAATGCATGTCCATCTGCCAAGCTCAGAAAAAATCCTGCCCGTAAGCAAAAAACAACAGCTTTTATTCACTTAGAGATTTTTCAGATTGCCCACGCCATTCAGGAGAGGAAAGAACATTAGCATAGATTCTGATACTTAAATTAGCAGATTTTTGCTAACTACTTTTGGTAATTTTTCTTTGGCAGATCGCATACAAAACATACCTGTCTCAAGTGTATTTGTGCATAAGTGACCATAACAAAATCAACAAGAATTGTACCTCAGCTCTCCAATTAACAATTTTGAGCTATTATCCATTATACCACATGCACATCTAAACTTCCCAAGTGGTCATCTATCTAGGTACAAAGCAGGCTCAATGTTGCTTAACTTTGGTGATTGTACAAGGACCAGTATTTTAATATAGCCATAATCCCAAATTATTAGACTTTAAACTTGAGCAGAGTAGAATGGCAAATCAGAAGAAAAACATTTTTCGGTAGGAATTTTGATTTTCCTGGAGTTCTTGAAAATTAGCATCAATCATGCTTATTTTCAGCACCTTGATAAATTTATAAACTAATAAAACATAAGTTTTATAAATAAAAGTCATGGAAATATATTAGTATTTTAAATTTAAAAATAGAGTGTGACAATTTAAATCCTGGAATGGACCCTGTGAAAGTAGTTTGCTTACTTGGTTACTATTGCATCTGCTTTCACAAGGAGAGTACTTTGACAGAAACCAACAGTGTACAGGTAAGCAAACTTTGCTTCCACAAGGCCATTCTAGGAATTAAATTGTCAAGATTCCAGGTACCATCTTTGAGAAAATTTTTTTTCATTCTGAAATCCTGTTAGAATCTGCAGCATTCTTTTCCTATTCATGTTCAGTTCTTCTGCTATTAGTTGTACACTTAATTTTCAATCTGAACTTGCCAATGTTTACACATTGCCCACATTTGCATTTGTGCTTTTTGCTGTGTTATATTGTGTTGTTTTAAGACATGTGATCAAGAGTTAACTTTTTTCCCTGACTCTTAGTTTACTATACACTTTATATCTCTTCTATTTAACATATACAACTACGTACAATCCTATTTACCAATCCACTACAAGCTGCCCACTACTTGTGTCATTATACACATATCACCTTTCCATGATCTGCCCAAGTCACTCAAAAAACATTTTATTTCTTCATAGCATGTTCCCCATAAGCCATTTTTAACAGAGCCAATGTTTCACTAATTCTTTTACCAATCTTCACATAAAAGTTGATGTTAATCTGCTGCTCCATATTCCTTTCACTCATTTTCCACCCACAGTATAACATGAACATCTTCCTCTACTACTTGTCAATGAATGACACCTCTGGACTGTGTCTCAAAGAAAGCAGAAGTTTGAACATATTTGCGCCCAGGCACATTTGGATGTTTGGTGGAATCATTATCTCACTGCTATGCTATGTTCTTTCCAGGTAGTAAATTGTCACACCTCATAATTTTTCAAGGGATTCTGCTTAAAAAGAAAAGGGACATGTAATGTAATTTTAAGAAATTTTACTTTTAATCTAAACATATCCAGCTTTCCACCAACTGACCATTTCAGTTGGGTTCATTATATTTACTTCCATGCTAATGCTTATACCTTTGGGGAAGATATGAATCCATCTCCTTCCCCCATATGGGTTAAATAGTAGGACTTGTATTTGGAAAAAATCATTGTTATTCTCAGAAAATTGCTAATCCAAAATGTGTTTGGGCTTTAAATAACCCACAAATGATAATCTGTAAAAAGCACATAAATTAACCAATCCTCAAATGGCTAATGACTACCTCATGTTTCATGTCCATTCTCATTTGCATCTGTATGTGTTAAGAACTCTGAAGGAGCCACTGCATGTTCACAAGGAAATGAAAGGTGAAAATAAATGCTACAGTGAGAAATGAGATCTTGAACTCTGTTTCTAATATATTTTGAGGTTTATTCAGGTATGTCCATCTTCATGTGACTAGCAATATGAACGGGTGGTAAGAACTACTTGAGGAACAGTCTGTCCCCCACCAAGAGTAGACAAGAACTGATTTCTTCAATCCAAACTATAGTCCAGTAAGTAGAAATTATCTGTCTAGCTTTGTTGTCACTTGACCTCAAGAGATTTTTTATTTATTTATTCATTCATTCGATTCCTTTTGATCAAGTTGATTCCGTTTAGAAAACCTGACTATAACAGAAACATTAGAAATTGTGATAAAAATCACACCTACCCTTTCTATGTGGATGTACAATCATAGTGTCATAAATAATTTTACATTACACATGAAAAAAATATTTGTATGTTTTCATCTGAACAAATATATAATCCAAGTGGTAATGTTTATTTACCCAAACTTTTTCCTCCACATCCATTGAGGATCCTCTGGGCTCTGTCTTTAGCATCTGATGGGAAGTGAGGGTCAACCATTAAGTCAGGGCTTACACACAATGCCAATACCTAAATAAAAAGAAAATGATTTTTATACAGAAAAAGAAATAATCATCCTATTTCAAGTACTTAACTTTGAATAAGGTTATCTTGCATTGCCTCAGCTAAAATAATAGTTTAATATGGAAGAGGATTTCATAAAAGCACAAATTCAAAAATAATTTGATAGTAATGGTTAGTAAATAAATGACAAGATTTTATAGTAAGGTACAATAATTCAAATTACAATTAGCTTTTCCATAATAACTTCCTCAGAGCCGAGATAAATATTTCAGATGAAAAAACCTGAATGAAATGTATATCTAAAATGTGAATGGTTGATACAATGGTTTAATTTATTTGCAAGCATTTTTTTTGTCTTTAATAATATAACGTCTTTTTATCCATGAGTCATTCTTTTTTTTTTTTTCTCTTTCAGTTGTACATACATCTCGAAAAGGGATCTTTTGAAGACTCAACACTGTATGGCTAACTTAATATGATAACAGGAAGCACAGTGGAGTAATGGATAGTGGCTTGGTTTGAGAAAGTGGAGGCCCGAGTTCAAATTCCAGTTGAATCCATTACATTCACTTATGTGCTAATACCCTTGGGAAAGGTATTAATCCTTGTCTTCTCCCCACAGCTATGGGTAAATAGCAGGAGAGACCAGGTTATAGTCTTGGATGGCAACTGGTCTACCGCAGAAAGAAATGGCAACCTACTACAGGAAAAAATCTGCCTTGTCAGTCATGTATAGAAAGCAAAATTTTTCTGATTTTTAACATCCAATTTCCTTAGCTGAAATGCAGTCAAATTTTCCTTCAAGACATTGGATTTTATAAACTGCTCCATAATGGTAACAAAGTGCCTTTTCAGTTTTTCTGAAACAATGTAAGAAAACACTCCAGATCTTGTCACACTTAAGGTTAAGTCACAATATGTTGGAAAAATTTTGGATGCTGAACTTAAATGTTATATTCAGCTTCAAATTAGACCTCTTTCTGATTCACTCTACATATTGGCTGGATGTAAATGCTAATAAAACAAAAATAAATAAAAGGTGCTCTTTGCACAGGGGCTCTGCTGAGCATCACATCTGGCTCATAAAACAAATCCCCTCAAAAAAATATAAAATACAATATTAAAAAAAAGCCAATCATGAATGTTGCTACCAAAGAAAAAACATAAAACAATGAGTCATGTTTCACCACATTTGCTTTTAAGAATGCTGCTCATAATACCGTAACAATAGTTGTGGTAAATGGGTAACAAGCTGTCACCACTAGTGATCTGTCAACCTGCCCAACACCTGCATCAACTTCAGGCCCTACCAACTCTCTATTCTTCCTCAAAGTTGCTTCCCTTGCTAATATCTTTTGTATTGACAATTCAAATAATTTTATATTAATTCTTGTCTTCCTTTAACCTCACCAGCAATACTTGTTTCATTTATTCTCTTGTGCTATCAAAGGTATGTTAAAAATAGTAGCAGAAGAGGGAACCACTCATTTTTAGGAGAAAACATTTTTTCTTTTTTGTATTTGACTAAAAAAATATTTTCAGCTTCTCAACTCAAGAAATTGGGCTATAACTTTTCTATTTTTCATCCATCTGTGGCCACAAAATTTCAAGGGAAATAGAGATATGGGATTACCATCATACATCTGTTATTTGCTATCAGATAGTCTGATTCATGTGTGGGTGATTTTTTTTTAATATCCCATATATATATCTGCCATATTTTTTTTTTCATGTGCACTGTTGAGATATTTAAAAAGTATTCATAATTAGTGATGGTACATTTGCGTTCTCCAGTAAATGATACTTTTTAAGTTATTCATGGAAGGCCCAGCTGACAATTATAATTGTATCAAATTATTTATAATATTCAGTCCTTTATTGACCTCCTTAAAATCAGTCATGAACTGACTGATCCTAACATGTTGCATAAAATGGGGACTAAGTATCATTTATTTCTTTGTTTCTTTTAATTTTTTACTGTTCAATGAAGAGTCCTTTGTGCACACTTTTACTGCACTAATACGCATATTACTCAAACTGAGCTTATCATTCTGACAAATTTTGAGCTGGAAGTAGTAAATATAGTCTGCAGAGCCACTAAAAACTGGTTGGATCCATCTGGATAAAGGAAACTATTTTCCGAATCTATTGTATTTTACTTTTTCTGTAACTCTTATGATTCAGGAGAAAAAAAGAAAAGGAAAGAAATCAAATGATGTTCATTGAAAAAAAAAAAAAAAAAAAATACTTTTAATTATGGTAGCTTATACCATTTACATATTTTACTTATATAAATTACCTCATTACATGCAGAAGAATAGTTTGGAAATTGATGAATAAAACACAAATTTAACAATTTGATAAAGATAACAACATATTGCAAATAAATTATGGCTCCAGTGAAAGTCTGACAATTCCAAGTTTACCAGGTTTTCCTGAGTGCTCAGAGCACTGGAGCTATAAACACATTAACTATGGCAGAAATTTCCATCATTTATATCCGAGCCACAAAACTACAATGACAGAAATTCCTGTATACTACATTTAATGATTTACTAGATTTCTTCTGTTATAACCACAACAACAAATGAAATAAAGATTATGAAGAAGTCTATTTGAATCCAATGATCTTCAGAGATTGACCTTGTATTTTGTTGGTCAGGATAGTAAAAAAAAAAATTAGCATGGTAATAAGAAATTTGAATTACCCTACATTTTATCTTTATTTTATATAAGAAATTATCTCAAACAAGTCTAAAGTGCATAACACCTATTATATTTTGGACATTATGACCTTACAGTTCAAACTAAGAAAGGTCAACTTTAAAATGACTGTTTAGTTTAGAACCAATCATTTAATAAAATGTAATTTTTTTTTGTCCAGCTCTGAGGATAATTTAACCCATTCTTCATGAGTGTCATTACAAACCTGGGTAAGCAGAAGTTGAAATTTCTGTGACAGCAATGAGGCAAATGTCAGATATAATTGAGACTGACAATAAAAAGAGAAGGTTATTTTTAACAGAATGAAAAGATGAGGAGGAAACAAGATCTGTAAGAGGGACAGAAATAGAAAGATAGTGTGAGAGAAGTTAAGAAAAGTGAAAGTAATAATGAAAGAAGGAACTGTTTTTCAAAGTGGAACCAGAAAAAGAAAAATCAAAAGATTTAAAAAAAAAATTTGAGTAAAAACACATTAAATGAAGACCAGAAATTCACTCAAATATATTCATATAAACTTACAAAACTTATTTTGGAAAAACAAGAATCTTATAAGGTATGGAAAGTCAAATAAGGTGCAGAGGTGAATAGTAGAATTTACCAATATTTATATTTATTTGCATCTTTGACAAGATAACTATAAAGTTTTGTCCATGATCCAAATCTCATAGTTTACTTGGTTCCCAAATATATAAAATTGTTGGTCATGGTTGAGGAACCCCTACAAAATGAAGAATGGTAAAACTGGTAAGCTGTGACCACTGACCTGACGTAGAAACGTAAGTGGTTGTTGTCCAGTTGCATGGCAGTCACCAATGTTGGCACGGATGACCTCAGCAAAATCCTTGGTAACACCCTGCAAAAGAATGGCAAATTCATGAGAAGGAACACATTTTTCTACTGCACCACAAAACTTTAATCTTGAGCAAAATTTTCCAATAAATGTACTGTCTTCATCTTTTCTAATTGTTTCAAGAAATTTTGTTGTTGACAACATTTAACTCCTAAAATGATCCACAATCCTTTTTGGTGCCTGAATTGAAATTTAATTGTTTGTCTGTGAGTTTCTATTTAAACTAGTATACTTGTTTCTGTCTGGAGACAAACCATAGATAAACTGGGATTTAGTTGCAGTCCTCATAATTACCATCTTGTCACAATCAGTCATCTTTGATCTACCATCAAAACTTTCAGGCTCAAACAAAAATTTCTTCACATCTGACTGATTAATTTGCTTATCTGATTCTGAAATTCAATCAGATAGTATAGAAAAGAGACAAAACTCTGTAGACATAACACGGTTTTTAACAAATCATTAAAAATTTAGGGACAATGACAATTTTCAATGATTAAAATTCTATTAAAACTACTCAACTCCTGATTGTGGCACAATTCTTTGCTAATGGTTAGTGTTTAGAAAATGATTAGTAGCCTGAAACATCATTAGTAGAAATTAATTTATTGCAAACAAATAATGAAATTAATCAAGGTGTTTACTAGTTTCAAGTTTTGTGGTGAATTGTATATAGCTTTTACAAGGGAGTGTAAAAGTTAAGTGTATAGTAATGAAAAATAAAATGTACACACAACACATATTGATTATACAAACATACCAATCCCTCATGTCCAAATTATTTGCCCCCCATCATTTTTACTCTTTATCTGCAAAATATTTATTATCTATTAAAAAATAAAAATTATGTATTATAATAAAAATTATGAAAAAAATATTAATGATTTTAATGAATTCTAGAATCACTATTATAATACTGGTATAATACTTACTGTATACATATTTTTGCAGTTCACCCCCATCTCATGTTACTGTAAGTGAACTATATACATTATAGGAAAGGATTAACAAGAGGTTAAAGAAAAAAAAAAAAGTGATCAAATATAAATTCTGAAAAGAAAATATGAGAAAACAAAACTTTTCTACATTTCATGTGTTTCTTATCCAAATTTCTTATCTGGTCCAAAGCAGATTATTTAGAATAAAATAAATTTGGCCCAAAGTCTGATTATTAAGCAATGAATGAACTTGCTTTCAAACCATTACTGTTTTTTTGAATGATACACAATAAGTTGCATTATGAAGATAACAGAACATATGTAATAGCTACTCTGGATACATAGTGTCTAACTAATCCCTGCTGTAGATGCCAGCTCAGGCATATTTTTTCTTTACCAACACTCACAGAGCCAATCTGAATTTTATACTGCAACTATGCTGAGCAGACCCAGATTCACAGTTTCTGGGAGAGAGTGCACAATCTGCCAGAGTACAACAAAGGTACAAATGCCAATACACTCAAATCTTGGGCCATAATGACAATAGCTTCTCAAGTTTTGTATACCAAATTTCAGTTACAAGGTTTGTCCCAACCTGTGGTATTGTTTTCAGGTACTTTTTAATGGTGTTATACTGGCATCATCTAAACAAATTGACTATGGTAAGATTTGAACTTGGGTCTCATGGTCAGAATACAAGTGTTCTAACCACTTTTTTTTTTTGTTTTAAACTTGTATCTTTGGCTGTTGTACTTCTAAGGTTGTTATCAAATTTGAGAAATGCAATCTGCAATCAGAATGTAGTTGTTAACAGACCATTTCTTAGCACTCTAGCAACTTCAGACTCAGATTTTAAGCAGGGAATGTGTAGCAGAAATTAAATCATGGGGATCTAGGTCAGTTGGTGTGCTGAGAAATGTGTTACACAAGAGTGTTATTTCTTGTTTGCAAAAAAACTTAAACAATGACTACAACCATTCATACAGTTAGCATTAGCAATAAAGAAACATTTTCTAGAAATGATTGATAATATCCTGTGCAGTTGGTTCCTATATAATTGGCAGTATGCAGAAGCTAAAGAGAAAAAGTTGTTGGACAACATATAAAGGCAAAATGGATGTTATTTTGTCTCAGCTGGAAATATAACTACCTCAGACTGACTTCATCTCATCAAGTACCTGTAGTTTTATTTCTATGAAAGCAAAACAAACAAAAAAAAATCATGTTCCCTCTTAAGCTTAGATAGAGAGACTTAAAAACATTACTTTTTTCCTATCTGTCCATTAAAGAGACTGGAATTTTTCTTCCTTCATTAAAATATTTTCCAATCTAAATGGATCCAATTTCTCCAACAGTAATAGAAAAACAAAGATCCCAAAATTGTGACTTTTTGATAACAACCAAAACTCTAGTCATTTCTGCCATCATAATCACTGCGTGTCTTGATAGTTGCTATAAATATCATTTAAAATGACAAACCTGATTATTCAACTGTTGACCTCTGAAAAATCACAATGGAATCTGTTTAGAAAATGGAGTGCAACAAAGCATATAATATCTGCTGTGAGTCTTTTTTAACTTTCAAAATATGTAAGCTAAAGAAACATTTAACTGCTAACAAATCCTGATATTATATTCATCAACCTTGTCTGGTCATAATATGAATGAAATAATTTATATATTTATACAAATTCAAAACAAAAAGCTCAAATCTTGATGTCTCCATGTACCCAATAAATATCTATTGTATTGAATAACAAATACCTTTAAATCAATTGTGTAGAATAAAAAGCAGATAGACAACAATCTAACAAACCAAACATTTTCATTCAAAATCAAAATTTAAAAGAAAAACTGTGGGTGTTAATAGTCAGACTAGACATTTTTTTTTTATTCTTTTATTACAAAGCTCGAAGATAAAAGGCAAATATACAGAAATTCTTGGGAGACCCTAAGGAGAAAATGAATGTTTCAGCAAGCAGCCTGTTATCTTGTCATTAGTTTATATCTGGTATTTAACAATACTGACATCTTAGAAATAAACTTATATATATATATATATATATACATACCCATATAATTCCCGGGATAGTGGATGTTATTCCCATTCTCGTATTCTTTCTTTGGTTATCCAAAAATAACAATTCAAAGTAAGCATTACTGAAAAGGGCTTTTGTGCGTTTACAGAGAATATAGCCCTTAGGAGGGATAGTGTTAAAATAAATATACGATGTACAAGTAGTATAGTTTCATAATAAACCTGCAAATAAATTTATATAGATTTACAAATAGAATAACAGATTAACAAAAGATTTACAACACTGACAAATAGTACATTTAAATCATAAACACCTGATGATTGGGTGTTTCTTATCAAGTTTGCAGAGTCTCTTGATAAACAATGTTTTTGGTCTTTCCATGTGGGGTATAAATTAACAAATGTTAGGGATTGCCAACTCTTGAACATTCCATATAAAGTTGGCTATGGGAGAAAACCGGTTCTGTAAGGTTAAGGTCTACCAGATCCAAGGACTGCCCCTGAACTTTGTTAATGCTGATTGCAAAACTTAATTGCAGCCACTTGAACTGGAAAGGAATATCCGAGGGAATAAGTGGAACTTTAGGAATAAATACAGCGTCACTGCTTGCTTTGCCAGTCAGAATTGTCACTTCCAAGACTGTTGATATCATCTTAATTGTAAGTTGTATGCGACTGCAAAGCTTTGGTGGATCCAGTTTTCTTAGCAGCATCACTGGTGTTCCAATCTTGAGGCCTGTTGGTGTTAGGCTATTCAAAAATTCAACTGGATAATTCACACCTTCATTGGCATTTAGCACAGCATCAATGGAATTGTAGCTGTGATGCTCATCTGGCAACTATTCCAGAAGTTTGATGTTCAAATCATCAACTGCCACATTCTTTGAAGCTAAAATGACACAGTCTCTCAGCCAGTTGGAGTTTGTAAAGTGATTCCCCAGGTTAGGAAACACCTTAGTCATTTGTTCCTTTAAATCAGATACCATACATCCAAAAAGCAAACTAACTGCCCCAACCCCTTCTTGCCAACTAAAATGCCATTACCATCATCTAATAGTTTCTTAAAAAAAGTACCAGCTTTCTCATCATCACTGAACTGTACTCATGTTAATTGCGAGTCTCAGCTTTTTCACACAGCTCCACAGGTAGGAAGAATTTATACTGGTGTTTACCTGGTTAGCTCTTGTCCCTTTCAGAATCACTGGAAGGATTTGTTTAAAGTTTCCCACAAGCAAGACCGTTGCACTTCCCATGAGCCATATGTTGTGTCTAAGATCATGAAGTGCCATGTCAAGGGCTTCAAAGAAACCCTTATATATCATTGTTGCCTCATCCCCAGATTTGCAATCACTGAGAAGTTTGCCTTTTATAGATCCACAATTTATGTTGTAGATTGTCTTCTCTTTCTTGAACAGGTCTAAAGGGAGTTTGAAGCATGAATGAGTTGTGCGACTACACCTTAGCATGATTGCAGCTATTCCATTTGATGCCACTGCTAGAGCAATGTGTTCCATTTGGCACAGTTTAGCTAGATGTAAGTTGATGATCTCTTGCCTGAAAAAGGCAGATAAATAAGGTAAATGTGTGCTGCTTTCTTGGGGAAGCTATGACACCAGGATGCATTGAGATAAAAAAAAAAAGCAAGCCAATGGAAGCAGGGTGAAAGTTTGGGCAAAATTCTACTGAAAGACACTGGATCCAGCTATTTATATAGAAGGTACATATTTGTGTATCCTAATACTTCAGCATCATTGAAGACCAGGTATATACCATCATGACAAAAGTTTTCTACAATGGCAAGTAATGGCTTCTTTCTACAGAACAAAGCATGAACTGTACAGGAGGAGTAGTGTTAATAACATCAAGATTCCAGTGTTACTATGACTACAAAACAGTTTCAGTGTTGGTTTCTGAGTTTATAGAACCTTTACCACTTGCAGAAGTTAAAGGATATTCTATTAATATTTTGGCACTAGATCTCAGAAGAAACCTTTAGATGTCTGCAGTGTCCATGGAGGATTTAGTAT